TGTAGAATTCTTTTTACTGTGACTCTGGTGTGGCAGGCCATTCATTTAGGAAAAGGTAAGGCAAATTTCACATTTCTTTCCTACCTCATCTTTCTCTAGTACCTTTACATTATTTCATTACAAGATATCTTCTCTTTCCTATTTGCACTTGTCAAGGCCATGAAAAAGAAGAACATGAAAAAGATGTGGAAAACGTCAATGCCACAGCTCAGAAGCAACAGCCTAAAAATGAAGGGACTGTTATAAATACTCTCAGTGACATGAATCAGAGCTATGAAGGTAGAAAGCAGCAGCATTCCAGGACATTTGTACCTTTCACTGGGATCACAGAGAGTAGGTAACATTATTTACTTAAACAGTGCCACAAAATTGCTTTTTAAAATCTTCTCTTACAATAAAGCTTTCCCTCTTCCTCTATGCACTGACTCGCTGGCAGATTTCAGCCTGTTGAATTGGTATGGAAGCTAATTTAAACTATTCTCATGGCCATTTATAAAGTGGTGATAAAAGTTTTAAGGTAAAACTTCTTTTAAACTGTTATCTTTCTTATCTTTTGAAATACATCTTAAACTGTCTTTAAATCTCGGCCTTTTATCTACAAACTGTTTAATGGTGATTATAATAGAAAATAGAGAAGAATAGTAGGAAGTAAAAGAGGGGGTGCTCCCTTAAACTTGCAAAGTGGTTGCAAAATTCTGTTCATTTTGTGAAGTTAGCTATATTTTGGAGTCAAAAAATATTTATTAAAAATAATAGCAATGATAAATTCTTGTATCTGTGCAAGAGTACTTGTAGAAAATAAAGGCAGATTTTTGTTTCCTACCAGATACTGGTAAGGATTTAGGTTGGTAGCTCTGCCCCAGGCACTTGAGAAACAGTTGAAGGAAAATCCCTTCCCCTCTGAGATATAAGCAACATTTCCCACCTCTGCTTGTTCATAGTAAGACTGAGACCTGCCTCTGCCAAAGTGAAAGATTTCACCTGAGTCCCTGCTACTTCTGCAGGACCTGACAGGCGTTGTCTCTTGACCATCCTGTAATCCCTAGTAGTTTGCTGCTAATCCTTAACTAAACAAACATGGCTTAACTGAGCAAACACTCCTAACAGGCAGCTAATTTTATTGTCTCTAGAGACAATAAAACTAGACAACCTTAAGATCTTTGGCAACCGCGGAGACTCAGGGGAACAAGCAGAGAAAAGAGGAGGTTTGAAGTCCCCCACTCTGAATTCTGGGGAAAACGGGTCAAATTGCCTTGCAGGTAAAAAGCTGAACAGGAACTGCTGCCAGAATGGAGGGACCTGCATCCTGGGCACCTTCTGTGCCTGCCAAAAGCATTTCACCGGTCGGTACTGCGAATATGACGAGCGGCAAAGGTAAAAGCCAACCCAAAACAGGCAGAAGTGGCCAAAGCCACTCCAGTGGGTGCTTTGGCTTTACAAACAGTAAAATATGTTCCCTTTCTCTTGACAGCAACTGCGGCAGCATTGCCCACGGTGCCTGGGTGCTGCAAGGCTGCCGGCTGTGCCGCTGTGGCTACGGCGCCCTGCACTGCCTCTCCGACATCGTGCACGGCAGCTGCGGTAAGGCCTCAGACACCCAGCTTTACTTCGTGCATAACACGCATTGTGCCTGTTTGCCTTTTGCAGAGGTGGTGGGCTGCCTATGTGCCCCATTTAATCCTAGCACAGGAGCCTACCTTGCTTTGGAGAACGCATTAGCGAGGAGGCAAGTGATAAAGCTGCCACTTGTGTGGCACGTCACGTAAAATGCTTTCAGATCTTCATAAAATTTCCATGCAGTTGGAAACTAATTCCCCCATTTTAATTGAAAATTTTAAGGATAAATGTTTCTCCTGTTGTGCAGCTCTACGTATGTCCATGACTTCTCATTTAACCAGGGCAATTTGTTTAACTTAAGCTGCACCCAAGCATAAAGAAAAGGCTTGAGTCAGAGAGAGTTATACATACTTGAGAACCATTAGTTTGAGCTGGTAAGATGTACAAACTAGTATTTTGTTAGACAAACTGAAGTACTGAAAACTTGGGTGATCTTGGGCGTAGGTATTTTCTCCCACAAATGGCAGAAAATAGGTCTGACTTCTGATCCATATCATAATCTGCAAAATATTCTTTTATATCGCTCTTAAGACTGAGCACCTTGCACAAAAAAATGTGTAGCCTTAAACCTTGATTTGTGTCCAGCAGTAATATCCATATTTTCATACTCCTAAGCAATAGCTCTTGGGAGTTTAACATATCTCCAGGGGTGAAGTCAGTACAAAACATTGCTGCCCTCCTCCATCTGTGGTGACTTGCTCCTATCTTGAAGGTAACTTAGTGCTCCTCCAGTTGTGCTAACAGCCCATGTTGGCAGAGTAAGGAAAGAGCTGACCTAACAGTAAATCTCAAAGGATTTGCTTGTACCCCAGAAATCTTGACAGGTTCTTTTTTGGGGGAAAGTCAGTTTTGCCATCATCTTGGAATAAACCACAAATTTCAAAAGCCAAGCCTCTGAGATCCCCAGAGAATGCCCTACTGCGTATTAAGCATATAAACCCAGAAAGGTGAAGTGCTTAGAGAAGCAATTATTCCTATCTTTGCAACCGCAGCCAGAAATATTTTTGCCTTGAAGTCTTTCTTGTTGCCTGCTTACATGTGGCAGCTAAGCAGCACCCTTCAGAAGAGCGAGTTGCTTTCTTGCTGAGTTTCCCTAAACATTTGACTTTTGAGTCAGCCCTACTGCTGCTTGTCGCAGGCCGAAAAGACCCTGCTCAGTAAAAGGAGTCTTGCAGCAAAGGTGTCAGGGGAACCAGCTGCTCACCCCCTACCTGGGCGAGGGTATTGCTCTCTGCTCATGCTAATGACCATAAGTGGGGGCCCTTCCTGCCAAGGGAAGGGTTAAAGGGCCCCGTGGGGGCCAGAGTGCATTCCTCTTGCAAGTATCTTGCTCTTGCTTTTGCTGGGTATTTACTTTTGATTATTCTGAGATTAATGCCTGCAAGAGCTGATAAGTGCTATCAGTTGCTCCTCAAACGATCATTGATGGGACATCTATTCACATCTCTCCCTGGAGAATAGCTTCTTTGATTGGCTTTTAACAGCTGATACCTTTAACTTAAGTACCTGTGAGATGCTAAAAAAGTTTCAAAGTGTGCTGAACATCCTTATATTTTATACGGTTTGCGTTTTACTCTTGCTAACCATTTTATCGTTGATTTTTTTTCGTAGATCTGAAAGCAGAAGACAAGGAAATGCCAAGGCTATATTCTAATGGCCAAAGATTACAGCAAACAGCATTTGCACTCTTTTGCCTAGTCCTCTTCATCCTGGAGCTCTGCTGCTGGCAGCTATGAAAATGAACAAAGGGAAACACTTCTGATTCACCTAACCCTCAGCATGAGGTGTATGCAATTTGTCTCTCTCCTTTGAACTAGGTGTTGCTTGCACCTGCATGTTGGAGGCATATTAAGTTAAGTATTTAGTTGATGATGAAATGCCTGGATTATTATAAACCCAAATTATATGAATGTGAAGTATTTATTAATATTTTATTATTTTAATACTATTTTAAATATCTGATTCTAACACTTCTCTGGTTTTAAAGCATTGTTATTCCAATGGAAGAAAAAAACACAGTGCTCTGTGCCTTAAGCACTGGAAATTATAGTCATTTCCTTTGCGTATCATATAGATACTTTAACAAATAAAGCTAATTTTGTTTTAGAAGGGCTTTTGTGTTTGACTTCATTTTAACGTGGAAATTCTTCCTATGGTTTGTTCTGTATGCAGTAACAAAAGGGTTAGAAAAAGGCAGGATGAAAAGGTAGGATGAATAATCTGAAATTTTCCAAAGATAAGGATCTTTTTAAGGGCATATTTCAGACTCTAATACAGTAGAACTCACACTTTAGACAGTCTTTCAGGTTCTGTTATTATTCTTATAGCTAAATGTCCTCTATACCTAATCTTATGCAGGAAACAAACATTTCTTGAGATCATGTAGTTGATGTTTATTCTTCTTTTTGAGGTTTTATTTTACATCTTATAAATATGAGCCCTTCATTTGTTTTTAAACAGATAGCAAAGAGCAACCTCTTTAAACTTTTCTGTAGGCAATATTATCTTGATTTATATACCACTTAAATGTTAGTGTTTCCAAGCTGTTTTGGAACGTGTGATTGCATTTGTGATGTAAATTTATAAGGCATCAACAACAACAAAAAAGTTAAAAAGATCTGCAAAAAAAGCTTAAATTTACCTTCATTCTGTCTATGTGGGGCTATTATATACAAATAAATCAGTTTTATAATTTTATCAACTCCTAAAGCCATTAGAGATACCTCAATATTTCCATAAATCATTACTGATTTTGGAAAATTAAATACTTTTACCTCTCAGATTTCTTCATTAATTTCTCTAGTACCACAAATCAAGATAACTGTTCAGTTACTAAGCAGAGAAAGATGCGTCAACATCTTTCATCAACGTATGAATTCATATGTTGTCTGCATTTGAATTTGGGGCTATGCAGTAATAGACTTTTGCAGGGAGTCATTATCTAAAGGTATGTTCCTATTTAAACTCAATTTCAGACCGCTACTTTTCACACCTTGGATACTGATGGAAAGAGAGTGAGTCTTCCTAAACTTTATATAAAATTTACTAGAACAGAAATGATCATTTTGCCAAAACATTAGTTCCTGGAAATTCCTGGAAACATATGTCAGTGTTTCCTCAACTTTAAAAAAAGAAGTCAGATATCAAGACAATTAAGTACCAATGAGAACAACTTGAAGGAAAGCAGTGATGCCTTTAATTATCAGATTGTGAAAATATCTCAGCTTACCAAAAAGCTTACCAAAAAGACCGAGCAGTCTATAAGCAATACTGTTCTTATCATGTTTCAGATATGCTTTACTTTTTTGAGGAAAAGAGCAGCATATGCAGAAAATACACAGCACAGTAAAAATATATCTGAAATATTGCATGTTATTTTTCATCACTACAGAAAACATACAGAGCCATTAGAGACACCAATTAGCAAAAGGAGAAGAGTGGTCTCACAGGGTTTGCAAAAGAAGAACTATTTCTAAGCAATAACATCCATAGCAGAATTAATCAGGAAAAGCTGGAGGGTAATTCCCTATGTAGATGAGCATACATGCCTGTAAACTCACTCTGATGGAGCTATGTGTTATTGGGTCGGCATGACTTGAAGGATTAGAGCAATTGAAAAGTCTAGCAAAGCACCATTTTCCTGCTGCACCAAAACATCAGTCAAAGATATCTAATTGGAAGCAGCAGGTATATTTTTGAAACATTGCAGAAGGACTTTCGCTGGGTAAGTGATTCTAATTAATGTCAGTGTAAATCACAACTCACTCTAAATGCTAAGATTTCCCCAAATTGTCTCATGTACCTGGAAGAAGTAATGGAGATGCAATTTTTTTATTCATTTTCCTTTTTAATTTCCTCTTTACCTCACGCCATCACATTCTAAGCTATTGGAAAATCATGAAACGATTGCTTAGGACTGCTTTACATCTACCATATTATGGCCTCAGTTATTACTAGTTCTGGAAAATGTTTCCCTGATATTTGCATCAGGGTTCTGGAAGTTATCGTCAGCAGGACAGAGCAGAGTGAAAAAACACTTTTATTCTTGCATACCCCAGTAGCAAAGGGAGCCGTGGGAGCTGAGTTTGAAATGAAACAGACATCTTCAGCAGCGGAAAAAAAAAAAAAAAACCCCTATTTGAAGACCGTTCCGTATACAGGCTTGTTCACAAATAAAAATATAAATAGGAAGAATGAAAACAGAAGCACTGAGGCACAAAGGAAAGCACACAGTCACGATCTTTGCTTAGGTTAAAACTGTCTCCTCTTTTATCTGTCTCCAGCTGTTTGAAAGAACAGATAAAAGAACGCATTATTTTCCTCCCCTGCTACCGCAAAGGCCTGGTCAACCCTCTCACACTGCAATTACAAGCACTTTATTGAGGTTTGTTTATAGCAAACAGAGATGCTTGCTCTCCAGCCTCATGCTAACTCTTTTTATGGGCCACTCCATCAAACACGGCACGTCCCAGCAAACCAGACATCTGTTGCCACGAGCTGCTGTGTGTGCCCTCCCTGTATGCACCCGCGTTCGGGTAGCGGGAGGGCCCACAAAGAGAAATATTTATCAAACGCTCCCCGGGCCCCGGAGCCATCAGACCTTCCACTGCTCGCTGTTGACTCCAAAGCTGCAGCAAATGGCGCAGCCCATCACTGGCCAAGCGGCATCGCACAGTGCTGATAAGAGTCCAAAGCGTGATGGCAGCGTGGCCAGTGCTGCCTCCTCCACCATCCTGCCACTACCTGCCCAGAGAGTTTTAATGCTGCAACAAGCCACGGGTCTGCAAAGGGTTGCTGCCCTCCTCATGCTGCCATGGGAAGGCTTTGCAGAATGCCAGTCACAACTGATATAACGCATCAAAACTTTCTAATGCAAGTCCATAAGATTAACAAGCCTCTACAAGCACTCAGCGCTAGGAGGGAATCTCTCGCATGGCTCTTTGAATATCTTGAGTCTCTGAAGGTGATTTCACTCCAAATGAGGAAAGATGGATTTCTGTTGTCCCTGTGAATTGCTAATGTCACTCATAGGTACCAATATCCTTCCCTCACCCATAACTGTGAAAAAGGCTTTTGTTGTTGTTGTTTTTCACAACTGACCAAAACAAAGTCAGAGGTGGCTTCTCTTCATTTGTTTTTGCAAGGTTTTGGGGTTATTTTGAGATATGTAGGATGACTAGAATCTCCCTTCACATATTTTGTCATTTGTCTATTGCTGACTCTAATTGTAGTGTGTCAGCAGGCTGCAGTGTTTGGATCATTACACTTACCATTTCCATCTGCCTGAGCAAATATACCTCCACATTATATTTTGGCTCCCATTCATTAGAAGGGTAAAACAATACTGCAGACTGGCTCATGTACTGGTCAGTCCTGTAAATTGCATGTTGTAGTTGTATACTGTGCAGCAGCCTTTCAAGTCACTCCAATTAGTGCTGCTTACCTTTCTCACTACTGTCCTGTAGAGTATGGGAGACTTATGACAACCAGACATGTATACATGTCTTCTGCAGACTTATCCAAACATCATGAATACTCCTTGCTATTGCAAAGTGCATTGGAAATGATAGAAAGGACACTAAAAACTGTAACTCCTTGTATTTGGCTGATTTCTAAAGTAATGATTTGTGGATGACAGTGACAAAAATTTCTAGGCTGAATTTGCCCTTAGCTGGTAGTGCAATGTGGGTGACTTGTTTTTAAGAGCATAAAGCCACCAAATGCCATCAGAATAAAATAAGAGGCCTATGCAAAGCTAACTTTAAAAAGCAATCTATGAGGCTTCAACTCAGATATCATGTGTTTCATATCTGGATGAAATGTTGGGAATGTATTGCAAGCACAGGAACATTCATAAAGGTTCAAACACAAACAACCCCAAAGACAGCAGCATTATTGATCCATTATAGATCCAGTAGTGAGAGAAGCCTCGTTATCCTGGCTGAGCCTCCTAGCTCCTGGCCCCATGGACTGAGCAGAAATCTTATCCTTTTTTTTTTTTTTTTTTGCCAGCCAAAACACAAACTTCTTGGATCATTACACATTTTATGGGGCATTTGGTCATCTCTACCTAGCCAGCAGAATAAGGCACACAATTTATGAGGGCACAAGTCACCTTTTTTCTTATTTATGGCCTTCTTTATTACATGTGAGTATGACTTTTGTGGGCAAAGACACTGCTCCCCATAGTGCAGGCAGCAGAGGCAGCCCCATAGCTAGCCAAGCAATCAGCAATGGTGTGGGAAGGTGCTGATTTTGGGAGCACCTTGGAAGGTGTGATGTTCAGGCCACTGAGTCACTCGTTTTCCTCTTGGCTCTTCTCTCAGGGCTATCTTCTCGTTTTGGTTTTCGTTTTGATGATCTTGAAATATTTGGTGATTTCAAGCCTCTGCTTTAAATTCTTACCAACAAGTATCACTCTGCAATCTCTTTTTTTTTTNTTTTTTTTTTTTTTTTTTTTTTTAAATTCTCTTTGTTTCAGATTCCTTATTGTCCTAGTGGCCTACGTGGTCTCTCATTTACAGACTGAGAGTGATGAAGTGGCTACAGTTCTCCATAAATTTCTAGTAAAACTGAGCTCTGGGTCACAATATTAGGCTTTGCAGGATGGCATCCTAGGTCACATTTATAACCAACCCATTCAGTGTTTTTCTGTATAAAGAAAGCATAACAGCGCTGAGGGATAACTTCTTTCATAAACTTGGAATGTAACACTCTGCGTCTGTTACCAGCAGCA